TTTTATAAACACACTGAGGATAGCTAAGACAATTGTGCTACAAATTCTATAAGTTCTTGAAACAAAATAGTTAGCATTCCTAGGATTGGAATAATTTTGCATGTTATTGTATGGTGATCTGAGGAACTCATAAAGATTGTTATGTAAAATAATAACCCTAGCCACACTCATACCACCTTTATTTGAAGGCCTATACCGTCAGTGTTCTGGGCTCATTGCTATTGTTGTTTATATTTCTTTTTCGTTCAGTGTTTTTCTAGGAATTTGTTTTGTTTTGTCTTCTTTTGTTTTGTTTTCCCTCCAATACAGAAAAAATAGATATACATGTAGAGACTCATGCATGCATAGAACTTCGAAACAGTTTATAAGAATGTATTATATAATGCACAATGAATGGAACAGCTACTTTGAAGAAAAAGAGACACTAAGGTACCCAGTGCTGATCCTGTAGCATCATGATGTGAAATCCAGCAATATTATTATTCTTTGTTCAGATCAATTTTAGTCTGTTTTGTTTTCTTTAATTTCAACATACATAAAGGTATGGACAGCTATTTAGAAGAGAATGAGAGACACTATGGCAGGCATTGTGGACTTCCCTATTGTTTGCTCTTGAAGACCTAAAATGCATTCGTCATCCTACTCTGATTAATTTTATACTATTTTTTCTTTTATGAATTCATTGTATGTGAAGGTATGGAAAACTATTTGGAAGAAAACAAGAGACAATATAATAAACAGTGGAGACTTTGGTTGTCTTGCTTTGAAATCTGTGTCTCATACATGGTTTTCTTATGATGTTTTGTTATGTTAAATTTTACCATGATTAAAACAAAACTTAAAAATAAACAGTCAAACTGTACACAGATTTGGATCTCTTCAATTTCCAGTGGCAAGAACATTAAAAACGACTAAATCTGCCCAAGTTGTTTTGCAGCAGGCTTTTGTATCCACTCTACACCTCTGTGAGATATTAGAACTTTGCTCTGTGCCTGTTCTAGTGACCTGCAGCTTACTGTCCTTTATGTTAGCTGCTACTGGTAACTCATGTTAGACACAAAAAAATAGACCCTTAGTAATTTACAAATGAGATGGAGGAGAAATAGGAATTAAGATATGTCCTGAATATGGACCCATTCTCCACGATGAATGCAATCATTATGTACTGCAAGCATGCACTAATAAAAAAGTATGAAATTTTAAAAAGAACTACACCAAGGTCCAGAAAATCCAAGCAAGCCATCATACCAACTTTTCAAAGTGCTTACAGAGATATAAGAAGTCAGAAGACAGAGACATCTAAGCCAGATGGCACATAACTATAATCCCAGGTTTCTGGAAGGCTGAGGCAGGAGGATGTCAAGTGCAAGCCTAAACTGACTAACTTAGTGACTTAAGGAGATGCTGCATCAAAATACAAAAAATAAGGATAAAAGAGGCCGAGGATATAGCTTAGCATGAAGGCTATGATTTTAACCTCAGGCAAACAGGGAAAGAAAATACAAAGAAGGTAGGAGAGAAGGGAAAGTAGACGTACTGGAGTATTTATTTATAAAGAGAGTAGACAGGAGCTCTGAGAGGATGTGCCAGATTTCTTGGACTGTCATTAAAAAACAAATACCATGGACTTCAGTCTTTCAACACAAGGATTCATCTCCCTGGCTTGGAGGAAGGAATCTGAAATTGAACTCCCGCAGCAGATCGGACCCTGCACCACTCCCAGGATCATCCTGGCCTAAGCTGCTCACTCATTCACACTGCACAGAGACAGGAAGAAGCCTGGGGTCACCCTGATGTCCTCACATGGGCTCCTTTTAACACTGAGGCTACACAGTGCCTAGGAAAATAAAACACACTGATGACAAGGACTTTATGGCCACTTAGCAAATGAATAGTGTTTCCCTGTACCATTTCTGTCATTTTTCTGCAAAATCATCATCAGAGGATATAGGTCCTTGTTCCCACTGGAATCCTCACCCTGTAGACCCACACCTCTGAAGAAGTCCATAATGCAGGCCAAACCTGCCATTCTCACTGTGTTCTGAGCATATCTGGGCATCATGGGGCATCCAGAGCCAACCTGGAAATAAAACCAGCTATAAAATTATACCTCCTCCATCCTGAGCAGGGATTTTTATATTAAGAAACATTTTTATTAATCTGATGTGAATATATACACATCTGACATTTATATAAGGATATATAATTTTATAAGTAAATATATATTAGAGTTTATACTTCAATGAATATAATTTGATAAATATTAATGGAGATAAAGGTGACAGAATATTCACAAATTTTTAAAATATACATTCATGATAGAAGGCATATTTTAAAAAAAATTTCCATTTAATATTCATAAAGTTGTAACCTATTCTTCAGAAAGAAACATAATTTCTTTCAACATGAGTGCTTTTCTTGAGTTTAGCCACCAAATTCAGGAATAACTATTTCTAACATGATTTTAGTCCTCACAGAGTTTGTAAGGGAACAGCAGTGGCCAGAGTCTTTACAGCCTCCGACCATGTTGTTGTGGTGGAAATCTCTGAAAATCACTGTAAGGTGCATTTTCCTTCAGAGCTAGGGCAGACACTGAGCGGGGTAAGCTTTCCCTCCTGGACCCTGATTTGAACACACATGCATGTGTCCTAGGGCCAGGTGCTGCGCTGGGGTATTTGGGCTCCTGTGGGAGGTGCAGAATTACATGCTATGGACCTCATGCCCACAGCTGCACAAAGCAAGGAATGTATCTCTACCAATTCCATCCAAACACAGAAAATATTTTCCATCATTCTGTTCAAAAGAAAGGGCTAGTGCTATGCCCTTCACCACTGCACCCACCAGGGAATTTGCATCTTGCTCCTCATAGAGGAACTGCCCATGCAAGTCTGAGATAAGAGCTCCCTCGTCACCTCACTCTGGGTAATCAGGACTTCTCACTCCAACTTCTCAAAATGAGGCACCATGTTCAGCTCCTGTGTCTGCTCATGCTCTGCCTGCCTGGTAAGGACATGGGGAGCCTAGGGGGAGATGGGGTGACAGGTGGGCCCTGGATGCCCCATGCTGCCCAGGTGTTCTCAGAACACAGTGACAATGGCAAGTTTGGCCTGCATCATGGACTTCTTCATCATGCATCATGGAGGCGTGGGTCTGCAGGACGAGGATGCCAGTGGGAACAAGGACCTATATCCTCTGATGATGATTTTGCAGAAAAATGACAGAAATTTTGCAGGGAAACACTGTGGGTTTCCTTGTGGCTGCTAGTTTAGGGGCCTGTTCTTCAAACTGAATATTTTGTGTGCACATCAAAATGGCAAAAATCATTTAGACAGATGTATATGAAAAAGTGTAAACAATTGAAATGGCTCAAGATGTTTGCATGTGGCCTTGACTTCATCATTTTAGAATCCACAGGAGAGGTGATGACCCAGACTCCACTCTCTCTGTCCATCTCACTTGGAGAGTCAGCCTCCATCTCCTGTACATCCAGTCAGTCTCCTGGCTAGTGATGGAAAAACCTATTTGTATTGGCTTGTGCACAAGCCAGGTCAGGTTCCACAGGAAATGATTTATCAGGTTTCCAATCAAGACTCTTGAGTCTCTGACAGGTTCAGTGGCAGTTTGTCAGAGACAGATTTCACTCTCAAAATCAGCAGGGTGGAGGTTGAGGATGCTGGAGTTTATTATTGTTGGCAAGGTATGTATACTCCTCCCACAATGCTACAGCCCCAAACACAAACCTCCCTGCCTGGGGAGGCCCAGCTGCCCCCCTGTCCTGCTGTCTGGTGAGCAGCACAACACAGACTTCTCTGTGTGAGAGGAAGGGGCTGAAGAATCAGAACAACAAGTTGCAACTGAGGCCTCTGCCCTGGAGGAAGATTGAGGAAGACAACAGTGTAACAAGAATATGTTCTTTGCTGAGGGATCTGACACAGAGGGAGAAGGATGCAACTGAGCACTACAGTTTCTTTAGGCCTTTAAAATTCTGTTCCTTTGTGAAAATTAATAAAACCAAAAGAAACACATAAACATGAATTTAGCCAAAAATTATTAATAAAATGGAAATGGCTTAAAAGGTTAGTACTTTATCTTTCACTGCCCTTTCTCTCTCTCTCTCTCTCTCTCTCTCTCTCTCTTTTTTGGTCTTTTTTGTTTTTATTGGTACCAGGGATCGAACTCATGACTGACTGCTTGCAAGCAGGCACTTATGCCACTGAGCTAAATCCCCAGTCCCCTTTCACTGCCCTCTTATCATGTTACCCAGGAGGGAATTAACAGCCATACATTGTCTTCTCAGGATGCCCGTCACTCCTGGAGATCTGCTCCCAGCTCACAAGGCCAGAGGGGACAGATCACATCTGGGCTACCAAGTGTGGTTCCATTGGCCCTACATGGATCCTGATGCCGGGCTCTCAGTTGTTACAGACTCCAAGATTAATAAAGTTTTCAGCTCAAAAATAAAATTTGGGTGACGCCACATCTTTCTGATCAATGCAGCAAGGGAAAGGTGGACATCCAAAGTGGGGCTCTGCATCATTGTGCACTGGATCTAACCAGAGAAGTTGGAGGGTGTTCATTTGGTGATATGCAGGCATATAGCAACCATGGGATAGGAGCAAATGAGTCCTGTGAGAAAATTTCTCACAGCATTTCATAACAATGGGAAATGGAATTTATAAATGTTTGTTCCTTTGTTGTGCATTATTACTCACTAAGACACAGAAGAGTTTAGTCACTACAAGATTCTTTCTTTCTAAGATTTTTACAAGCTAACAGGAAGTTGCATCCTACTACTTCTAGGATTAAACAGCCATCAATACAACCTATCCTTGTGACACTTGATAAATCTCTAGGCCCCAGTATCTTCCTTATTGTTAAAATCCCTCAAGATATCTGCTCTCCCCAAAATTAAAAGTAGACTGAGAGAAAGCGACAAGTTTGTTTTTAAATTATTTTTAAAGAGAATAAAACAGAACAAAACCAATAAAAATAAACCAGTGTAAGTGATACAACATTTTAATACATTACAAAATCAGCAATAATTAACAGAATGCCTTTTGTTGTCTTCAAAATAGCTGAAGAGATCTTTGGACATAGTAAAAATCAAACAGAACAGAGTAAAATACAAACAATAAAAACAAAACAATAAATGCAATAAAGAAATTCAAAACAAGCCAATAGTAAATCCAAAATTGCTACCATAATACATACTGCTGTCTTTGAAACAGCTGCTCTTGCCATCCGACTTAACATAATCAAAAAAAAAAAAAAGAGAGAGAGAATAAAACCTAACCCAACAAAAGAATGGAAATAATATATGACTTTCAAAACTAGACCATAGAGAATCAACAATGGATGGAACCCTCAGAAGGAGATCCTCTCTAGCTGTCACCTTGTGTACAGCTATCCCCTGAACCTACGATCAGACCACTGGCCCTATATCTGCAATATCAGTGAAACATCAAAGCACCACAGGCAGCCAATTGCATTTCACATTGATAGCTATCATGACAGCCTGTGTTTCTGGGTTGGGGAAATTGTGGGGGGTGCACTGATACTTCTTGTTTGTCATCCTGCAAGCTGGAAGGGGCTGAGGACTGACTGTCCACAGACCAGTGGCAGCCTGCAAGGCACTGGTTCTCAGATGGTGCTTGTTTCCTGGTGTGGCCTTTCAAAAATGAAGAGTTTGATAATGGGACAATAATATCTGTTCTAAAAGTTGGCCTTTGGGCCCTACTTCCAAAGTAATATTAAAAAGTCCCATTCACCTCCTCTGATACTTTTATCCATGTCTGAATGTGCTCACATGTCAGAGCTTTGACCCATCAGTAGATGTATTGAAAGGCGGACAGATTCTGGTCATATTTTAAAATTAGAGCAAATAAGCTTTACAGACATATTGAATGTGAGATGAGAGAGAAAAGTAAAAGGAGGATAAGTGTCATGTACTTGAATGAGTCACAAGAGAGTTTGTGTTGATGTCTATGGGAGACTGCCAAGCTGTGCTCTCCAGAGAAACAAGCCCCTTTGCCTGTCCTTCAACTCTATTCATTGAGATATGCTGAGCTGGTTATATGGAGCTGGTGGTTTCCTTATCCAGCTAGAAGAATGAGATCAAGCCCAGGTAATCATTATCCACAGTGTTGACACCTGGAATGGGGGCTCCAGGAGTGGCCTCTGCAATTCCAGGGCTAACACATAAGACAGTATCTCAGCAGAAGCATTGGGACTAAGGAAGAATTACACCATCCAAGAAGGAAAGGTTCCAGATTTGCAAGCATCAAATATCCTGTCTAATTGGAGAGCCTCTGTGGCTGGTACAGCCAATGCCTGCAAAGTGTCTCTTTCTAAACGCTCAGCCATGACCCCGACCCACATCTCTGATTGATACTGATAAAAGCCATGAACTTTTGGAATTCATGGCCTCTAGTTCCATGAATAACATTGGTTCCCAGAGCTCCTGAACTGTAGGATTTTCTCTCTTTGTCATTATCTTGCACCAGTGTGCTGTATTGCCAGGTGGAACTGCCTGATAAACTCCACAGGAGATTAATAAATGTACATGGAGTGGCAATAGGCATGAGGAGTGGAACTTCAGAATTTCAAGATGCCATCAGTCTTCCAATCTTCAGTGTTCTAGGGACAGATGAATTGTGAGATTCTGGAGGTCAGGGATTCAGTCTTAGCTGCAGTCTCATCAGGCAATGAATATTCACAGAAGAAGGCAGCCTGGGTCCTGCAATGTAACCCAAAATGCAGAAGTCAAAACAGGAGTTAAAACCTGAACTGGAAACTATAGATGAGGGCTAATGATGTAAGTATTAAAGGAAAGCAGGGAAGATTCCTTTTCAGCTCCCAAAGAGTGATATAAGCCTTAAATGTAAAGGAAAACTGCATTTCTTTGAGTTTTCTCTTTCTACCTAGTTCACTAAGAGGATGTCAGTTATGCTTATATCTTTTCTCTAAATTAAGGAGAACTTAAATAAATGTCTGAATTATGATATTAGTTATTGAGATCTTTCTATTTGAAGGCTCCTGTAACATGCTCACTTATAAATACGTTTGCTGGACACATACTTTCTGGTGGGTTCTGCTTCCATTTTCACTATTCAGTTGGTATGTTTTCTATTTTTTGTTTTTTTTGTTTGTTTTTCTTGCCTTCCCTTGATGTTTTTTCAATGATCAACTACTTCTTTCTTTAAAAGTGCATCATTGAGGTCTATTCCAGCTGCAGTCCTGAGGAGTCAGGGAAGGGGAATTGCCCAACAACTAGAAAGGCGGCTTTTGGCGGGGTTCCGCATCCAAGTTCAAGAACAGGAACAGGACTCTGGAGTTCTGGGCCTGCCAGCCTCAACAATTCCAGAGGCTGGGCAGCCTGGGGTGAGTGTGCCCACACCATCCCCTGAGCCCAGCTAGTTTGGGATCCTAGCTTGGCCCCGGACAGGGAACTTTACTGCTTCCTGTGGCACTGGACCAGCTCAGTGCATCTTGAGCTGACCTGCCCCGCCCCCAGTGACCCTTTCTCAATCTGGGGACCTGGGTGGCCAAAGGCCCAGGAGCTGAGGGGATAGAAGAGGATTTCCAACAGGCCCGGGGGAAGCCTTGCAATAACACTTGAAACACAGAAATATAGGAAAATGACAAAACAGAAGACCAAAATACAATCTGAAAAATCCAGCCCATCCCAAGAAACCCTAGGAGCAATGTACACAGAAGAAAATATATGCCACACACCTGAAATAGCTGAAATAATAGCAACTTAAGTAAAAAAGCAACTCCGGGAAGCTTTAAAGGAATTTAAAGTAGAAATAATCTCCTGAGTAAAAGAAAAAATGACCAGATGCAGATGTCTTTGTAAAACCTCAGAGTCAAAACTGTGAAGAACCTGATGCCTCCCATGTACTATTATTTCCTCATAATAAGTTATGCAAGGTCACCTGCTCAGTTCATAGAGCTTGATTTCCAGTGCTCTTCCCCTCATTGAACCCATCATCTCACCTACAGACCAGTGACAGCGTGGCTTTACTCTCTCACAGCTTTGATGGGACTCTCAAACTGACCCCTTTCCACGTGACCACCTCAGATACCCTCCAGGGCCATGTCAGTCACTGGCTCAAATTACTCTGAGATGGTAAAAACCTTGATTCAATGGTGACATTCTGACGTTTAGAATATTGCTTTAAACTATGGGCTATAGCTGTGTAATATCTATTAAAAGGAACAGTAGATATGAGAAGGATATTTTATGATCATTCTGAACAGTAGTACAATTTTTCATTGTATGTTAAAATCAAGAGAAATCTTTCTTCAAGAAAGGTTTTGATAAATCCAGAATGTGTGTGTTTGTGGGCAACTGTGTGTATACATTTCTACAAGGAAACAGGCATCCTTAGAAATTTACAAATTTCAAAACCTATTCACAAGCAAATTCACATCCACTATGTAGGGCATATATTTTTTTCCTTTTCCCTTTTGCGTTCCATGGAGAAGCAAATTTACAACTTGAAGATAAATATTTTACTCTGTATCATACTTCTTTTAACTTTGGTGCTTTTATATCATTTAATTTCTAAATCATATAAAATATTTTTCTAATACTTATAAATATAAGATGATGAGAGTTTACCTGCTCCTATCAGATCTTACATTTAAAAAAATATTAAGATGAGTTCTCATGAAGTGAGAATTTCTTTGTTCCCAAGGCTAAGAAGCACGAGCCTTCCCCTCCCAGAAACTGATCTGCACACGCCCCCATATCCTGGGGACTTCAGTCCTGTCTGGGATGGGCACAGCCCTGAATATTCTGTACCTGATGGAGACTCGGACACAGCATGGACTGTAGCTCTATTGTTTTCCTCCCAATGCAGAGATATTTTATACCACTGGGCTCACATGAGAAGCCTCCCACCATGCTGGTCTCTCTTTCTACACCACTGCACCCACCATGGAATTTGCATTTTGTCCCCAGGGAGGACCTTCCCAAGAAAGTTTCAGATATAAGCTGGCTCTAGCTTTCCCTTAACTGATCAGGACTCTTCAGTTCAGTTTCATGAAATGAGGCTTGCTTTTCAGCTCCTGGGGCTGCTACTGTTCTGGATCACTGGTAAGGACACAGGGATATCAGGAGGGGCATGAGGTGAGAGGGAGAGCCTCGGGGTCCCACTGCCACTCAAATGATTTCTGTCCACACCTGAGATGTGCAGCCCTCACTTGAACCATGGGTGTGTGAGGTTAGATCAGAGTGAAGAAAATTCTTAAAGGACTCAGGACCTGACCTATCAGGAAGACTTCCAAAAAAGAAAGAGAGGGTTGCTCATACCAATTCTAGAGGGATTCTTGTGATTCTTGTGATTAGAAAAAAAAATATATATATATATATTATATATATAAAGTATATATTTATATATATTTATATATATATATATATAAAGTATATGACAATACTTTAGCTTGATAATGGCAGGAAAGAGAAAACCATGATAGTTGATTCATGATTTTGCATTTCTCTTTCACCATTTTAGGATCCACAGGAGATGTGATGACACAGACCCCACAATCTCTCTCCATCTCTCCGGGAGAGCAGCCTCCATCTCCTGCAGGTCCAGTGAGAGCCTCTTGCATAGTGATGGAAACACCTATTTGAGCTAGATGTTGCACAAGCCAGGCCAGGCTCCTCAGGGCATGATTTATAAAGTTTCCAGCTGGTTTCCTGGCATCTCAGACAGGTTCAGTGGCAGTGCCTCAGGGACAGATTTCACACTAAAAATCAGCAAGGTGGAGGCTGAGGACACTGGAGTTTATTATTGTTTACAAGATACAAAACATCCTACCACAGTGACACAGCCCTAAACAAAAACCTCCCAGCCAAGAGATGCCCAGCTGCCCTCCTGCACTGCTCTCTGGGGAGCAGCACAGCACAGACTGCGCTGTGTGAGAGAGAGAGGTTGAAGAACAAGTTGCAGCTGAGGCCTCTGTCCAGTAGTAAGAGTGAAGGAAACAACAGAGCAGCTGGGATGTGTGCTCTGCTGAGTGTCTGGCACAGAGGTAGAAGGATGGAGAAGACTCCCTTGGGGATATCATGAGTATGCATGTCCCCTCAGCCTGTCTGTCACTCCTGCAGAGCCATCCCCCTGTCCTGAGACTCAGTGGATCATCTGGAAGTGATGCATCATGCAGATCTCTTGGTCTTACTGCCTCCATGAAGATTAAAGCTCTTGGACAAAACAAACTTCAGTCCTGTCACATCTCTCATCAATGTAGCACAGCATATGTGAGCAGCCAAATTGTGATTCTGCCTCATTATATACTGCGGATGACCTGAGAGAAGCTGAAGAATCTTCATTTGGTGATACCCGGAAATAAAGCTATCATGCGATGATGGCAAACAACTTGTCAGAAAATGCTTCATAACACTTAGCAGCAAGTACACAAGGGTTTTTTTGGGCCATTTTTGCTTCCATTCTTCAGTACCACTCACAAAGACATATGCAGCTTTATTCTCCATAAAGATCTTTCTTTCCATACTTTTTACAAGCAAACAAGACATGCAGACTAATTTCTGTCAAAATTAAGGCATTCATCTCACAACACCACCCATCTTCCTAAGTATCATTAGCCTCCATTTCTTTCTTTTCGAGAAAATTCTACAGGGCCACTTCTTTTCAGAGAGAAAGAGGGAGAGGGAGGAAGGGGGAAAGAGAAACAGAGACAGAGACACACAGAGAGACGCACCAAGAAAAGGGGAAAAAAAGGAGATCCTATAGAGCCAAGACAAAGTTTTAAAAATGATTCTCTTTCTCAAATGTAAAATTAAACTGCTGAATGAACATCAAAATAACTTCTAGGACAGGATATTATAAATGGCCAAAACATTGTGTCTTTTAGGCGGTCACAGCTCTTTTGGGGAAGGGGCCAGATTTCAAACATTACTTTTATAAGAGTTGACCCCACCCTGCCATGTGTTTGTCAGTCCTATGAAGGGCAAGGAAAGTTACTAACATTCCCCTTTCAATTACCTTGAAACGTTTTCTTCTACCATGCTGTTGCTATAGCAAACTCAAACACGGCAGCAACACAAGATCCAGAGATAGATTTGTTTGTGTTTTGGGGCAGCGACAAGAAATCAGTTCTTATAAAAATGTGAGATCCAAAGGCTCAGGGAGAGAGGCTTTTGTGAGGTTACAAAGGGGAAGTACAGAGGTAGGGCACTTGGCTGTCTTTGATTGGTCCCTCAATATGTGTCATACTGACCACCTGGGCATCACAGTGACCTGCCTATTCTGAGAAACAAAAGTATCAGGAACTGTAGCAGGCACTGCTATCTGGGCAACAAACAGAAACTCAAGCTGTGGGTATGTGGGCTTTTTCTGCTACACTGTGATCTGCTTTAAAAAGTGCAGATCTCTTTGCAGTATCTCACAGCACTGAAGCAGTGAAGAATCACATACCACGGGTGTACCATTATTTCCGCAGAATAAGTTTTGCAAGATCACTTGCTTAGTTCATCGAACTTCATTCCCAGTGTTCTTCCTCTGATTTGAATCCATCCTCTTTCCTACCCCCATCATCAGGCATCTATAGCACACAAGCCATTCTGTACACTGCAACAACTCTCTTCTCATACCTGATATCACAAGCTTATTATTCTCCTCTCATCAGCCCACTGGCCACACCCCATTAAAAAATCAATACCAGAACATGCATGAAATCAAAATAGATATACTGTCAGACAGTAGAAAGCAGGCAGGGAAGAACACACTGGATCTACTTGCAGCTCAGGAAAATCCCAATTTCAGGCTGTAGGTGTAATTCACAGCAGTGATTAACTAGCAATGCAGTGCAGAGGTCCTGAGGTCTGTCTCAAACACACCACAATAAAACAAAAGAAGCTAGGTAAGAAAAAAGAACGAAAGAAAAGGAGAGAGAGAGAGAGAGAGAGAGAGAGAGAGAGAGAGAGCGAGTCTAATGTAGATCCATAGCCAGACCAGTGTTCCCTGAATCTGTGTGCATGGATCATCGCGACATGAGGAGTTTTCAGAGTCCTGCCCCAGAATCCAAGGATGGCAGCCAAGCATGGGGATAGGGACCGTGACAGTAAATCAGGGCTAAGAGATCGCTGCATATTTTAGGCAGAGAGTTAGTTTGATATGAGATTTTTTTCTTTTGTTTTGGGGAGAAAAGAGTTTTTATCATTATTATTCTGTGTTTTACATGAGAGTTGGATCATATCTAACTTCAAATAAAAAATCACGTCATTGGGGAAAATCAGTGACTTACACAGGATGGCTAAGATGATGAGCTGAGGATCTCACCGTGGGTCTGAAGTGATCACCGTACCTCCTCCACAGGGGAAAAAAAAACACAGTGGGCCTGAGAATGACTCCATCATTCTGGTACCACTCAAATTCAAAGCTCGAACTTGTTTGCACATAGCCTTGGGGCAAAGGTGCCCAAATGACAACCTGTCTGGGAGGGGGACATAGCCAGGAAATTACACAGAAATGCTCACGAATCCTATTTAAGGACCACAAAGTCAGACCCTTTGGGAATTAAAAATAGAATAGATAAACTAAGTACCAATGAAAGTATCAGACAGCAAAAGGCTCTTTCCGTACTTCTGATTTGGGACTTCTGAGAGGATAGCAAGGAAATAAATTATAAACCTGATATTACATAAAAAGAGAAGGAAACTACAGGAAAAAATTAATCAGCTCAATACATTTTATACACATTGTAAATCATTCAAATCATCCTTATAATCCAGCCACACGTATTATTCACAATCAACTGGTGTTTTACTTTTATTTAATCAATGTAATATTATCTGTTATTTTGCTGTCAACAGACTATTGCTTGTTATTTTCTTAGGTATGAAATATTAAAATAAAATCTTATACTCTTTTGTAGTTTCATCTGAGGCATTGGAACACTTCCATAGAACACAGCCAAACTTCATGTGCTGTGTAATTTTTAAAACTTTCCTATTTCCAGGGAAAAAAATGTGAAAGCTGACTTAGTGTGTCCAAGTCTGAACTTAACCACTTGTGGTCTCCTTCGCATATGCATTAAGCTTTAGAACTTGGTATTGTGACTGCTCCAATGAGATGAAATTTATTTTCTTTAATTTCATTTACTAATGATTCTTGTGATACAAATGAGGAATGGGGGTTTAAGATACCAGATCAGTCCAACAAGTGAACTTTCCAACTTCTCAGACTGTTTGGAAAAAGCCCACACATTCAGAAGACAAAGTCACCCAAGACAGATAGTGAATGACTGTCAGCCCAGCACACTGAGGCTGAGGCCCAGGATGGACAGGGCAGAAACTGGGCAGTTGAACAACACAATGAGACCCAGTCTCAGAGTCAGAGAAATACAAAGGACTGGTGACGTAGCTCAGTGTGAGCTTCCTCGATTTAAGCCCCAACACACACACACACACACATAGTGATAAGAACATCCAGAGTCCTTATTTACAATAAAATTGCACACTACAGAATCCTTATTTACTTCTTTTACCACAAACACACTTTCCCAAATGTGTGAGAGGCACACTGCAGCTCTTGGGCTGCCATACACAAAAACGAACTTACAGACTAATGACAGCATGGCTTTACTCTCTCACAGCTTTGGAAGAAGTCTCGAACTCACCCCCTTTCCACAGTGACCAACTCAGAAAACATCCAGGACCATGTCAGCTTTTGGTTCAAATTGCCCTGAGACATTAAAACACTGGATTCAATCGTGACATTGTTATTGAGAATGGCTCTTTAAACCATAGACCATGGCTACCCAATATCTATTTAAAAAATGTAGATATGAGAAGGATGCTTTAGGAATATTTAACAAGAGAGTAGCATAAATTATTCCTCATTCATTTTGGATAAAAGCAAGAGAAACAGTACCCTAACAAAGATTTTGATAAATCTGGTGTGTGTGCGTGTGTGTGTGTGTGTGTGTGTGTGTGTGTGTGTGTGTATACATATCTACAAGACAGCAGTCTTGACCAGATATTTACTGATTTCAAAATCTATTCACAGGAATTTTACATCCACTATGTAAGTTCTATTTTTTTGTCCTTTCCTCTTGCCTTCAAAAGAGTTACTGATTTCCAAGTTGAAGACAGCTACATGTATGTGTATCATAGCTTTTGATTTTACTGCTCTGGTGTCATCTAATTGTTAGGTAAGCTTCAAGACTATTTCTAATACTTGTTTGTAAGATTATGAAAGTTAACTGGTTACAGCAAAATGGCTCCTCATCTCTGCTACCTGCTGCTCAGGTAGAAAATGCTAAAGACGAGTTCTCATGAAGAGAAAATTGCATCTTTCTCCTCCAGGAGGCTAAGAGCCATGACACTTCCCATCCCAGAGACTGATTTGCACATCCCCTGTATCCTGAGACTGCAGTCCTGTCTGGATGGGCAGAGCCCTGAGCAGTGTGTCTGTGTTGCAGACACACGTTTTCCAAGGGATCCTTGCACTCACTGCTGCACACAGCATAAATTGTAGCTCTATTGTTTTCTTCCCCATTCAGAGGACATTTTAGAACAGATTTTGGATTGTTTATTTTTGTTTGGGACCTGGAATGGAACCCACATCTGCATGCTCACAAGGCAGACACTTACGACACTGTGCAAAACACCCAACAAAGAGGATATTTTATACCACTAGGCACACAAGGGAAACCTCCCATCATGCACTTCACTCCTTCTGCACCACTGCACCCACCAGGGAATTTGCATTTTGTCTCCAGGGTGGACCTTCCCAAGCAAGTCTCAGATAAAATCTGACACTAACTTGGCCTTGCCTGATCAGGACTCTTCAGTTCAGTTTCTCAAAATGAGGCTCCCTCTTCAGCCCCTGGGGCTGCTACTCTTCTGTATCACTGGTAAGGACACAGGGGGATAAGGAGGAACATGAAGTGAGGGAGAGTTTCAGGGATGCTCTGCTGCCTGGCTGAATTCTGTACATAACTGAGATGTGCATCCATGACTTGAAGCATGGATGTGTGAGTTTAGATCAGCAAGTGAAGAAAATCCCCAAAGGACTCAGGAGGTGTCCTCTCATGAAGACTGCCATAAAGAAAGATAGGGCTGCTCAGATGAGTTCTAGAGGGAATCATGTGACTAGATATCCTGTCAATTATCTCAAAATTTAAAAATTTTCTTTTTAAATTAATTACAAATATAATGTAGCTCAATACTTACAAGAAAACAAAAGCTAGGTAAATGACTCATGGTGTTTGTATGTGATTTGCCCTTTTTCTTCATCATTTTAGGATCCACTGGAGATGTTGTGATGACCCAGACCCCACTCTCTCTGTCCATCGCCCCTGGAGAGCCGGCCTCTATCTCCTGCAGGTCCAGCCAGAGCCTCCTCTCTAGTAATGGAAATACCTATTTGCATTGGGTTGTGCACAAGCCAGGCCAGGCTCCACATGGTGTGATTTACCTGGTTTCATACCGGTATTCTGGTATCTCAGACAGATTCAGTGGCAGTGGGTCAGGGACAGATTTTGTCCTCAAAATTAGCAAGGTGGAGGCTGAGGACGCTGGAGTTTATTACTGTGTGCAAAGTACACATGAACCTCGCACAGTGCTACAGCCCCGAACACAAACCTCCCTGCCTGGGGAGGCCCAGCTGCCCTCCTGCACTGCTGTCTGGGGAGCAGCAGAGTGCAGCCTGCTCTCTGTGAGAGGAAGAGGCTGAAGAATCAGAAAAACAAGTTGTAACTGAGGTCTCTGCCCTGCCTAGAGAATGAGGAAGACAACACAACAGCCAGGATCTGTGTTCTGGTGAGGAAGCTGACTCAGAGAGAGAATGGAGCTGAACTCCAGAGCTTCTTTAGTGCCTTAAAACTTCTGTTGTTTTATGAAACTGAAAAAAATACAAACCAAATGAACCATGAATTTTGCTAAAATGACCAACAAGCTAGAAATGGCCTCCACAGTTGGAAATTTCTCTTGCAATTTTCTCACATTGTGATTATCCAGTGGGAAACGGTCACCATGGACTCTCCTTTCAGCCAAGCTGGTACTCCTATGATGCTGCGCCCATTTCCAGAGGGCAGCATTAAAGGGATCACTTCTGGTATTGCAATGTTGGGCTTTGTGTGACTCCATAGATCATCGGAAGTGGTGCCTCATGCAGGGCTCTTGGTCTTACTGACTCCATGGTGAGTAAAAGTCCTGGCCTAAAGAAACCTCAGTCATGTCATGTCTGTCTAGTCAATGTAGCACAGCAAAGGTGAGCATTCAAATTGTGATTCTGCCTCGAGGTACCTGAGGATGACCTCAGAGAAGTTGGGTCTATCCTTATTTGGTGATATCCAGGATTACAGCTACCTATCAAGGAGACAAACAAATGCTCAGAAAATTTCTCACAGCAATTAGTAGCAATTTTCCTTGCTTTTTATGGGCAATCTTTGGCTCTGTTCTCCATCACAAGCACATATGCAGCTTTAGTTTCCACAAGGATCATTTGTAAAAAGATTTTTATTGGAAAAAAAGACATGCAGACCTGACATTTTCAGAATTAAGGCAGGTGCCTCTCACCTCCCCTCATCCTCATGAGACATGCTTGATAAATCTCAATAGGCTCCATTTCTTCCATTTGTGATAATCCTCCAGGACCACTACTATCCTCAAAGTTAAATGTTTTTTTTTTTTGTGGTGTTCTTGTTTGTGGTTTTTTTGTTGTTGTTTTGTTTTGTTTTGGTACTGGGAATTGAACTCATGACCTCGTGTTTGCCAGGCACACATTTGTGCCTCTGCACTAAAACCCCAGGTCAAAGTTAAATGTAAGATAATAGAAATGAAGAGTCTGATAATAGGAACAATTGATATCTCTTTGCTATTTTTGGCCTTTCAGACATCATTGAAAGTGAACATTAAAAAGTTCTCTAATCCCATTATCTAAGGCAGCATGTGCTTACTTTTCCAGACCTTGCACCAGGTGTTTCAAAAGGTGGGAAGGCTCTGGTCATGGTTTAAAGGCAGAACAAGTAAGTTTTCTGACATCCTGGACATGAACTGAGGCAGAACAAGCAAATCATAGACTGCCTTATATTTGGAAAGGATCCATCACAGAATTTACAAGAAGCCTCCTTCAATGGGAAGGCAGAAAAAGCAACACTGGGTAACAAGGGGAACTAAGGACTTGCAGGGGAGCATATTTCCAGTGGTGAGATGGCCCCAGGCCTCCACTCAACCCTTGTATATGTGAGATGCTAGATCTCTGGGAAGTGATCTGAACTAGAAGATGCAAATATAGGGATAGAGGTGAGGTCACCAGGAAATGATGGTAAGTAGATGAGGACAGACTGGGACCTAAAAGGCAGCCCAATTCTCAGAAGTCAGGACACAAGGAGAAACCTACAATGGAGGCTGTGGAGTAGGAGTAACCTGTAGGAAGGAGAGAGAGAGAGGAGAAAACAGACAGAGACAAAGACAGAAGCAGAGAGACAGAGTGAGACTGAGAGAGGGGGACACATAGGAAGGGTGAGAAATTGAGATCCTAGAGCCAAGACAGTGCTTTAAGAATCTCTTTTCCTTTCACAAATGTAAAATTAAAGTGTTGAATGAGCATTAAATTGACCGTTAGGGCGGGTTGTTAAAAACCTTCTAACCACTGTGTTTCTTAGAAGAGCACAGCTCTTTCCAGGCAGGGCAAGATTTCAAACATTACTTTTAAAACAGACAGCCCCTTGCTGACACCTGTTGGTCAGTCCTGTGAAGCACAAGTTCCAAGTAAAAAACATTCCCCTTCCAAGTTGCGTCCAATTGTTTTTCTCCCATACTGTTGCTCTGGTAAGTAGAAAAGCCAAAAGGACACACAAGATTCAGAGGCAGATTTACTAACACTTACAGGCAAAAACAAGAAACCAATACTTCTATCAAGTCAGCCACGAAGCCGCAGGGAAAGAGGTCTTTATCGGGTTACCCTGAGGAAGTACAGAGATAGAGCACTTTGCTGTCTGTGATTGGTTCTTACAATATGCATCACAGTGACCTGCCCTTTTTAAGAAACAGAAGTAACAGGAACTGTAGCAGGATCAGGGCAAGGGACAGAAACTCAAGGTAAAGAGCTTGCGTGGGGGCTGTTTCTGCTCCTCTGCAATCTGCTTTAACAAGTGCAGATCTCTTGGCAGTATCTCAGAGCACTGAAGCTGTGAAGCATCGGATGCTTCGCCTATGCTGGTATTTCCATAGAATATGATGTGCAGGGTCACATTGTAGTTGTACAAATATTAATGAGAGCCAGTATAAATACAATAGATCCCCCATTAACACTTTTTCTCGCCCATAATCTGAGTTTTTCCCCAGGCAATTGGAAGACTTTTAAGATAACTTTTATAGCGCAATGGCTACGTGTTATGCAAGGTTAAAAAAAATCTACGCAGGAAAATGCACAAGGGCCAGGGACACCACTCAATGCACCTCTTGTATGAGGCAGGTCCAAGGTCGTGAATTTAATGCAGGTACCCCCCCCCCAAATAAACAAAACAAACACTTGTTCAAATACTATAGGGTACCAATATAAACATCCACAGATCTTTCCCAGGAAAGTGGAAGCTTTTTACTTTACAAAGAAATGGGCACATGCTGCCCTTTACTCCTCATTCTCATGCACAGAAAATTCTTAGGGAGATATTTTCTCAGATTTCATCTTGCAAACATACTGAAATATTTTATTCACTATCCTGTTATCCAGTTTAATGACCACAGAAGAGACTGAATGTCTCACAGCACTGAACCTCTGGACTATTTGATGAGTCGTGAGTACCATTATTCCTATTTAACCTGTTGGAAACAGCCTCTAAGGAACATGCCAAACCATTTGCTTTCTTCATCGAGCTCATTCCCAGTGCTTTCCCATTATCTGAATGGCACCTCTGACCTACCTCATCCTCAGAAAATTAGGGCAACCACACCAGATCTCTGCTGCCTGTGCTCTGACATTATAGGCCTGAAATTCTGCTGTCAGAATATTCTGACGACTACGTACAACTACTGACAAAACACACATGTGCACATATGCACACACACCTACAATCAGATGAGTCCTCAGATACTACAAAGCCACAGTGTACAATAGCTAATGATCAATCATTTGCTCATAACTAGAGTTACTAAACAAACCTAGATGCTGAAGTTAAAAAGATCAACAGTTTACTTTATCTAAAACATTGCTCTTTTGTATGAAATCTGATTCTTTCATACTGAAGTTGTTATTACACTAATTTTGGCATTTTTTATTCTTCTGTCAAGATTCTAGGCAGCTTTGCTAAGGAACATTGACACCCCTGATTAAATTTTGCATTAAAACAAATGCTGCATGACTGACACACTAATCTGGATCAAGAGCACAAAGGGCAGAGATCATTGAACAGAGCTCATAAAGAGGAGCCTGGAAGGTGATGGGCGGCACGTTGTCACTGTTGCAGTACTCATCCTGGGGGAGGAAGCACTCTAGCCTGAAATCACAGAGTGAAAGCTGGCAATCCAGAGACCTTTGCAGAGACACAGATGCTATAGACTGCACATCCTGGTGAGTGGTATGGATTTGGTCATTTGTGAGAGACTGGTCATTTTCAAGAGAGGCCAACTGAGCTTCAAACTCAGAAAAACCACTGTCTCCTCTCCTGGCTTTCAGTTAAGTTCAAGACCACAGAAGTGACACTGACTGCTGCAGGCTGAAAAAATCTGGTGTCACCCTCATGAATGGAAAGTGCCCTGAACGTCAATGGCAATAAAGTTGAGGCTCACTGAGATTATGCACTACCTCACCATAAAGCAAATTCTGGCTTGTTGGGATAAATCAGCATGGACCTAGATTCTGTCTACACATTTTCTCTACCAGTGATAGCAGAGATGCAACTTGGGGAGGAGAGTTTCCTTCTCTCTCTCTCTCATTATTTGTTTTGCTTTTTATGCTTGACCTTTTCTTTATATGAATGTAAACATGGTTTCCGGTTTTCTGGTGATTGTGTTTCTGTTCTGTTCTTTCTTTAATTTCTTCTTTTTCTTTCCTTCCCAGACTGACATTGCCTAATGGTCACTGAAAACGCTGTGGGCCAGTGTAAAGTGACCAGAGGATGGGCCAACAAGGCAACAACTACTCAACTCATAAATTGAAGAGGTAGGATCTTACAACACAACTGAAAACACAAAAGCGGTCTACACCTGGAAGACACTTTCAGTAGTCATTTCCTAAAGGTTCTAAATAACAGCAATCAGGATATCCACCATAGGCAATTCAGAAGCATCAACTCAAGAATTAAACTAAGAAAAAGAAAATTAGAAAATGAGAAGGCAATTCCACAAGTGCAACTCCAGACAATCAGTGAAACAAAGGCAAGACAAGGGGGAACGGAGGTGGGACCACTCAAAAGCCAGCTACCGTGACTGTCTGAAATGATCACATCAAAATAAATTAACAAGGATCTAGATCAAACTAAATCAGAAATGATTTGATAGAAAACAAACAGATAGTGGCCATAATGGAAAACACCCCTAGGTACTGTACACCAGATACAGATTAATAAATAGAGGAACTTAGGAAAATGAGAGAAACCATGAAGACCAACATAGATACATAATGGAATTCATACAAGAGACTCAGGGAGATATCCAAAATATTGAAACTTTCACTGAATGTATAAACAGCAGAATAAACCAATGTGAGAACAGAATGTCAAATACCAAACACATGTTTTTGGTTAATAATTATGAAAAGAAAGATTTCCTAAAAATAGAAAGGAATGATAAGATGTCCATCCAGAAGGTGCTATATCATGTGAAGAAGTATAACATAAGAATGGTTAGAGATGATGAAAACAGCAGGAGATAGCACAAATAACAAAAAAAGACTGATCAGAGGCACCATGGCAGAAAACTTCTCACCAAGATAAAAGAATCTGACACACCTATAAGTTAGTCAAATAGAACTCTATCTATGACTAGAAAACCCACAGCAAGGCATAAGACGGTCAAGATTCAAGAAATGCAATTCAAAAACACAACATTAAAAGCTCTTAGAAAAAAGAAACAAATTACATACAGAGGAAATCCTATCATAAGCACAATTGACTTCTCAACATAAACCCTCAGGTCAAGGAGATCCTGGAGTGAAAGGTGTCAAGTGCCTTGCTCCAAAAGATCTTAAATCCAAACTGATATCTGTTGCAAACCTATCTTTCAAAATCAATGGGAACATAAAATATTTCCATGACAAAGAACTGATAAAATACATGAACACAAAATTAGGACTTCAAAATTTTCCGAAGGACACTTTAGAAACAGAAAAAAAAGTATAACTCCACGAAATCCACAAAATTAAGCTGTCAGGCAGAGCAAGTGGTAAAGCTCAAGGGATAAAAAGAGAGCCTATTTTAGGAAAATAACATGGTAAGGACAAGTCAATATACACCTGTTATGATGATCAATGGGCCTTCTATTCAGTTCATCAGTCAAAGGAAACACATCGATACAATGGATCATGAAGTAAGAAACAACAGTGCACTGCACAGAAGAAATGCAATGAATTCCAAAATCAACTCATAGACCAAGAGTCAAAGGATGGCAACCAATAATCCATGTGATAGGAACCTGAAAAAAACA